TTTGTGTCTTATACTTATAATACAACGAAGACATGCGTTTTTTTTGTTCAATTGCAAACTAAAAAGTCTTCATTTTGGATTGTAATCTTATTTGACATGAAATCTTATTGGCATGAAAGATGTGTGTCTATGTTGGTAAGTAAAAAATCTGCTCTTTGAATAAGAAAATAATTATGGGACAGAAGTTTTTTTAAGTCTAGCTAATTGAGTACCCATAGTTTTAGCAGTACTAGAAATATGGGACAATATATTATAATTCTATACGTCTTGCTAATTGAGTACCCATAGTTTTAGCAGTACTAGAAATATGGGACAATATATTATAATTCTATACGTCTTGCTAATTGAGTACCCATAGTTTTAGCAGTACTAGAAATATGGGACAATAATTCTATAAGTCTTGCTAATTGAGTACCTGGTACTAGAAAAAACCCACCAAACAATGGCGGTGGCAGTGATGAACTTACCATCTACTAAAGTTACTTGAAGGCTATATTTATATAGGAATCCCAATAAGTTCTGAAAAGTGGGAATTGTATTTTGCTTGTCTATTGAACACAGCGTTACAGCCAGGGGTACCGGTACATACTTAGAGAATTAGGATTTGTGTATGCAGCAAATGGTATTTTATAATCAAAGGTCCACTGTTGACTTTGGAATAATTCTAACATCATGTGTTTTTGTCTCTTTGTTGCACTTGTACTTTTTTGGTCTTTTTCTTAACTTTAAATGTACACAATAAATACACTGAAACAGATCTTGTTATATTTTTCTAATCTTTATTCTCATTGTACCTGTGGATCTCATGCTGTTTTCTCAATGTACCTGTGGATGTCATGCTGTTTTCTCAATGTACTTGTGGATCTCATGCTGTTTTCTCAATGTACCTGTGGATCTCATGCTGTTTTCTCATTGTACCTGTGGATGTCATGGACACCACATGAAGTGAACGTCACGACCTATCGCAGTGGACTAACTTCTCCGCTTTTCTTACCCTCTTCCCTATTGAATAGCTCACCTACCCATTTTCTGTCACAATACTTTTGCTGCCCTCTCGGATAGTACTTCTGAGCTAAGTGCTATTTTAAAAAATGTTATTCTGTTTCTTCTGCTGTTTGTTCGCTGACGAGGGCTTCCTGCCGACACGTTCGTTATTTTGTTGCGTTCCTTTTGTCAGGTTTGACCTTTCTTTGTTTTACTAATTTCCTATGTTGCTAACCCGAAGGCAGTCTCTCTCCGGTAGGAGTAACCTGCACATTGATTGCTTGATCCTGATCAATATTCTTTTTTATTTATAAAACCATCTTTAAAAAAACCCAAAACAATTACCGGGTAACGCCCAGCATTAAATTGTAATAATTATGAAAACGGAATATAAAACATATTTAAGGTGAAATAAAAAGAAAAAATACTTCATAAATCTTAGACCTGCTTGGCCTACATTGGGGAAACTTGTCCAACGGTACATCAAAATTCAAGTTTGGGAAACGCTAGCCTAAAAGACCTCAGAGAGTGAATCTATTCAGACCTCAGAGAGTGAATCTACTCAGACCTCGTAGCTTGGGTCTACTCAGACCTCATAGAGTGAATCTACTCAGACCTCATAGAGTGAATCTACGCAGACCTCATAGAGTGAATCAACGCAGACCTCATAGAGTGAATCTATTCAGATCTCGTAAAGTGGACCTACTCAGTTGTTCAAAGATGGAGATATTCAGACAAAATTGATGCGCATCATAGAATCTCTTTAAAGTTGGCATTACCATTTTACTAGAACTTCTCAGTGGTTCTCAAAACTTATAATTATTTCACTGTAGCTAGGAGAAAACTATTCAATTCCCATGCAGAAATTGTTCAGTCATTTTAATGCTCCAAAAAGTTTTGAAAATTACTTCCATACAAGGATCGATTATAATACAATCTATTATATTTATATAATGCTTATAACAATTTATATTGTTATATTGACACAATTTCTTCTTCTTCTATATCTTAAGGGCCCACGATCAATGTATTGATCATTTTGGCTCCTATGCATGCTATGCTTGCCTATTCATGGGTCATTTTGAATATATGATAGAGAGGGCATATACTGGCCATATTCCTGAATTTTATAGGAGATACATAGATGACGGCATAGGTATCACAAGCATGGAAACTAATGATCTCCAGAAATTTATAGATTTTTTAAACTCATTTCACCCATCAATAAAATTTACTTCTCAAATCTCTGGACATTCTGTCAACTTCCTTGATATCACTGTAACTTTGAAAGAAAATGAATTGATCACATCTGTCTACTACAAACCAACAGACAGCCGTAGTTACCTATTGTACTCATCCTCCCACCCATGCAAAGACTCCATACCTTTCTCACAACTTCTTAGACTACGGCGTCTCTGCCAAATTGATGAGGAATTTCTAGAAAGAGCTGATGAAATGATGGCTTTCTTCCGCTCCAGATCCTATCCTGAAACTACTCTTGTCTCAGCACTAGATCGCATCAGCACGATCACACGAAAACAGGCTTTCAAAACTCGCCCAAACAACAATGAAGATCGTACCAAACTTATACTAACCTACCACCCCCACAATTTAACTGCAAAAAACATATTCCTAAAAAATTATAGCATACCTTTTGCTGACCCTGATACCAACAGGGTTTTCTCATCCCCTCCACTGAGTGTCTTTAGACGGGACAGAAATCTAGGTGATCTTCTGGTTCATAGTCGCCTTCGATCTGAACCGTCTTACTTTGGTACTAAACCATGCTTAAGAGGCCGCTGCAGAACTTGTCCCTTTACACTCTAAACTGAAAGCATTGGCCTCCCTAAAGATACCTTTATCATTAAAGAGGGTTTCACCTGTGTCAGCCGAAATGTAATATATGCGATTGTTTGCCGTAGATGCCAATCTAGTTACATAGGTGAAACTGGGAGAAGATTGGCTGATAGGTTTACTGAACATCTAAGGGATATTGAGCAATGTAAACCTTCCTCGGTCTCTTCTCATTTCAACAGAAAAGAACATAAAGGTGCATTGGATAAGACCATTACGGCACTGATTTCATGCAGTAACACACCAGATAGGGTTAAAATGGAAAATAAATTTATTCAGCTGTTTGGCACCATATCTCCATATGGTATTAATCAAATAATATCCTACTGATGTTTCTCTGTTTCCCTATATTCCATCTATTTTGTTATTGCTGTGTGTTGATGTGTGCCTGGATATTCTGGTCCATTATTATTGTGGACTTTATTTTTCAGTGTCAATATTTACATTCTCTCGCTTCCTGTTTTCCGGAGACACGAACGAATACTGCTTGAGTTGTCTACTGTGCTCTTTTCTTTGTTATATTTTCATTTCTATTGTTGGCTGAGGAAGGCTTTATGCCGAAACGTCCTTGTTTTTTGCCCTGTTATCTTATTTCAAGCTTCCACATATCTCGTTTCGCTATTTCATTCATTTATGCATGTCGATGGGATTTGCAATGTTTCTGTTCCTGGAGTTGATGAGAAAATTTCAAAGATTTCCAGTGCCACTTTGTGAGGGAATCATGCACTAGGGGTTTGAAGGCTTGAGGCAATAGACACAAATGTGACTAGTGTTGTCGCCTCAACCGTTCCTTTTGAAAGATTGTTCCAGTCCCTGATTGTCTTGGGCAGGAATGAGCAGCTCCTATACTGGCTTCTTGCTGGTATGAGCCTGAATTGCCTGTCATGGCCTCGTCGCTGTCTGTGGGGGAGAGGGACGAGTTTCTGTTTAATACCGGAACAGTGGACCAGCCCATTATTTATCTTGTACACCATGGAGAGCCTGGATTGTCGTCGTCGTTTCTTCAATGGTGACCAGCCTAGTGTTTCTAGCATGCTGCCAACACTAGAGGTATTCCTGTAGAGGTTTAGGACAAAGCGTGCTGCTCGTCGCTGGACCGCCTCCAACCTGTCAATGTTCTTCTGGGTAAATGGGTCCCAGACTGAAGATGCATAATCTAAAATCGGACAGATAAAGGCTTTATATGCTCTTTCTTTCACACAGGAGTTGCCAATCTTTAGATTTCACCTTAAGAACCCTAGGGTCTTGTTTACTTGGTTACATACATTGTTAATATGCTCGTCCCAGCGGACCTCTTTTTGAATGGTAAAACCCAGGTACTTTACGGAGGAAACTTGCTCAAGAATAGGGCCGTGCAGTTCGTATTGGTAGTGTAGAGGAGTGCAACTTCTAGAGACTGATAGTGTCTGGCACTTGGCAGTGTGAAATTCCATGTCCCAGCTCATCTCCCACTCAGCTAACAGATTGAGATTCGTGTCTTATTAATCTACAATCTATGGTCAGCTTTAAATTCGATACAAAAATGTAACAATAATATGTTTTTAAGAAGAATAAAAATATGATTAAATAATATATATTTTATTTAAAAAAACATTGGACAAAAACAAGCAAATGATCGTTATTCATGGATTTCAACTTTCAAGAATCAGGCCCAAACTAGGCTACTACGAGAATTATCATTACAGTAGAACCCGGTTACGGCCTATACGTTAGCAACAAAAAAAAAAGCGTCGAAATAACTGATGATCGAGATAAACGAAAACCAATATGGTGGCAATATATTAACATGTGCTTGAAATTTCATTATGAACATGATGTGCGTTAATAAATTTAGTCATTTCAACAATATATATGCATGTATATTTACAGTATATATATATATATATATATATATATATATATATATATACTATACATATATAAATTGTTTAAATGTTACAATTATTTTTAAAAAAATGAAAACAGAATCAACTTTTTAACGGTCATACTTATTTAGCTACAAAAAACAATATGGTGTAAATATATAAATATGTGTGTAATATTTTATTATAAACATGATGTGTGTTAATAAATATAGACATTTCAACAATATATATATATGTATATATACAGTATATATATATATATATATATATATATATATATATACTATACATATATAAATTGTTTAAATGTTACAATTATTTTTAAAAAAATGAAACCAGAATCAACTTTTTAACGGTCATACTTATTGAGCTACGAATTTTGAAAATATGAGTTCATTTGATATTTTATACGATGGAAGAAGCCTCCACATTTTGTGACCTCATCCTGCTGATCGCGTCATGCGCAATGACTACATAGTTTATATAAATATAAGGCAACGCTTCCCCTCATTACTAAAATACTATTTAGGGACTAATTATTTTGAACTTTCAAATTTGGCACATGACTATTTAATTAAAGCTTTCCCTGACCAACGGTTTAATAGTTTTTGCACACGGCAAACTCTTATGAATGAAGCTCTGACGTAGCACCACGGCATAGCCAGTATGCACGAGACCTGTGATTGGCTGCCCATGACAACGTTTTGCACTCAACAAATAATGTTCATTTGTATTTTGGACTCTACCGGGTTTTTTAACCTCAAAATAAAACATATTTATTTAAATTACTTCTAGGTTCATTCTAAACACATTTCAAGTCATGTATTTGAGAAATAAACAATTATTTTTAATTATGAAAAACTTGTTTATTTTTTGTTTGCTATTTCTTCTTGCGGAGCCCAAAAGCCGGCGACTGGTCACGGGCATCGAGTTAACCGAGGTTAAGTGGCAAATGTGGCTCCTTTTTTTGATCGAGATATTAGGGTTCGGTGACATAGAAGAATCGACATAACCGAGGAGAACATGCTAAGACAAAGAGAGAATTTGGCGGTTCCGCGCCATAAACGTCGACTTATCAGGGTTGGGGAGTTAACCGAGGTCGAGATAAATTGGTTCGACTGTATAATATTGGAAAATAGCAACAACAAAAAATTAAATGGGAAGAATCGTGTTTCTTTTTTAATTACTTTTTAAATTATTTTTTTAAAAACATATTTTATAATCTCTCCAAAAAGACAGAATAATAAATGTTTGTAAAATATGAAAATATCGCTTAGCACTACTCAAAGACGTAAAGATGGTGACAATTTTTAGCACTGCTCAACGACACACGGATGATGACAAGTTGTAGCAACAATCAACGACGTCACGATGGGGACATGTTGTAGCACTATTTAAAGACCTAAAGATGAAGACAAGTTGTAGCACTATTTAACGACGTAAAGATGACAACAAGTTGTAGCATCACTCAGCGACGTAAAGATGGGGACATGTTGTAGCACTACATAGCGACGTAAGGATGGGGACATGTTGTAGCACTACTCTACGGAGTAAAGAGGACAACAAGTTGTAGCACTAATCTACGACGTAAAGATGACGACAAGTTGTAACACTACTCAATAACGTAACGATGGGGACATGTTGTAGCACTACTCAACGACCTAAGGGTGATGACTCGCTAGATTCACACAAGGCATAAAGTGGGTTGATGTTTTCATTGCAGGGTGCCGGTTCCATCATCCAGCTTGAACTCTCCGTCAGCGTAATGCAGTGTGTCTGATAAAGATAGTCGGGTTCTCCACTTTTCCACTTCATAAATCCGACTTGATGTCCAGATCTCGTGTAGTACCATTGCCCATGTTGGTACTGCCCTGCTATGGCTACATGATGCACCTTCGACTGACCGATCAAAAATCCACTCACCGCTTGATATTCTGATTGGTCATCAATCTCCGCGAGGTATGACCCGGCACGCTGACACAGTTCCATGGCATCATGGCCTCCCCACGCAGGCACGCGGAGGATGTTGTAATCGTGGCCGTTGTAGGTGAGGTTATATGGGTAAAAGAAATCCTCTAAATTACACACGCCCGAGGCGTGCGTTTGTACACAGCAAGGTGCTGGGGTGCAAGGTGTCGGTGTGACGTCAACAAGACTGGCTGGTGTGTTCGGGACTTCATTCAATTTTGAGTAAAGTTCTAAAAATTTCTGCTCCATAGTTATGAGTTTTCCGTCCATTTCTTCTAGCTTGTCAAGAAGTTCATTTTGACCTGGCTCTTTAGTTGTAACACGAGAAGAGTCTGAGAGAACTATCGTATGACCCACGGCGTCGATGCCGTGAACATCACACTTGTAGAGTCCACTCTGCCGGGCTGTCGGGTCAGTCCAACTGATGTTGATGTGCGATACCCCATTGTTCGATATCACACCGGAGGCTGAAACGGGTTCAGAGGTCAAGATGCTAACATTCTTAGCATACACATTGATGGAGGCTATGTCTTCGTACTCGGAAGCTGGATTGCTCTCATTCTTCGCTCGTGAAATGAAGAACGCAATCAAACCATTGATGCTGGAGTTGGCGTCCAACTTGTAGGAACAGTCGACGTTGAGAGTTTTGGTCAGTCCAATGGTAATCTCGTCCGGTGTTGTGGTCAATGTAACCTCTCCAACTAAGAAATGCATTGTAAAAATTAATCATTATATTTTATATAACCATTAAAAGTGAAGAAATAGTTCTTAAATCTATCCTGGCAAGTAAAACACAATATAATAAAGTTGCAGGCTTGTACAATTATCCAAATTATTTTGGAACACAGTATAATTAATAATGAGCCTACTCAATGGGCCATTAGACGTTCGTGGTGTTTGTTGTGACTGTGGTGTTTGTGGTGTTTAAGTTCTTTGTTGTTTTTGGGTTGTTTGTGGTGTTAAATTAAAGTCAAATATCATTTCTTGGAAAAAAGTATTCCCCTTAAAACCAAGAAATATTTTTTTTAAATTTTCTAGAGCACCGAGCATAGGGAGAACGAATCGTCAATAGTTGCGTTCATGGGAAATAACTTGAACAAAGTTTTAGAAAGGATTTGATGAAAGGAGAGACGAAAGAAGTGTGCAGTTTTAGATTTCTAAACAGATTTGTTAGAAAACGAATATATATATTTATAATATATATATATGTACCACCTGTTGTTCTCGATTGTAGGCTAAATACTCCCCTAAAATCTCGCTAAACCAACTTTATATGCATCTTTAGAAGGGAGGGTACCCGGTCAGAAATTCAATGGGGTTGCAAATAAAGAAAACAGAACTATTGATATGGTGTTAGCAGCCAGACAGCTGCAAGAAAACTTCAAGGAACAAAATGTTGACCACTTCTTTATCTATGTAGACCTGACCAAGGCTTTCGACAGTGTTGGTAGAGAGGATCTTTGAAGATCATGGCCAAAATAGGGATGCACCAGAACGTGCATAGCAATGGTGCGGCAATGACATGATGCGTGCGGGCGAGTATTCTTTAAACTGGGGAGACGTCTACACAGTTCACTGTGCCACATGACGTCACACAGAGTTGTGTCATGACGTCAAACAGAGTTGTGTCATGACGTCAAACAGAGTTGTGTCATGACGTCAAACAGAGTTGTGTCATGACGTCACACAGAGTTGTGTCATGACTTCAACATTTTTCAACCTAAAGATGACCGCCACGCTGACCGATGTCTTCACGTTGGAATCGGTCTCAGATACCGAACTGATGGTGAGCTAGTAAACTTCGATACATTACATGCCAAATCAACGTTCCTGACAGACATCATCAGGGGTTATCGTATGCCGAAGGTTGTGCCCTAATCGCAGTATTACTAATTTCTCCTATACCTGAACAAACTTTATGTTTTCAACACGAACAAAAGATTAAGGTCCTATACCAGCTCCTCTGAAAATTCTATGTTGTCCCTAACGTTCAAGTGGATGGCGAAAGGCTTAAAGCTGTAAATGGCATCTCTTAACATGGTGGCACACTTTCCCAAAGTACACAGTGCTATGCAACCATCGTTGACGAAGTTAACCTTCGTATTGCAAGAGTCAGTGCAACCTTTGGCAGATTTTCTAAGAATGTTTGGACCAGGCAAGACATCAGCACTCAAACTGAGATGCAAGTATACAAGTACGGCTGTGCACACTACTGTTCTCTATGTCCGTGAGACGGGGACGGTCTGTCAACGCCCTTCAAGAATGTTGAAACATTTTCTTACCACAAGGCTCAGAAAAATCCTGCACATGACACTGTGGTATTTCCACAGGCAGGTCTCTCCAGCGACTTTACACTTTTAATGCAGTCCCAGCTTCGCTGGGCGTGCCATGTTGTGAGAATGTCAGGCGGTCGTTTGCCCAAAAGAACCCATGTTGTGAGAATGTCAGACGGTCGTTTGCCCAAGAGAACCCATGTTGTGAGAGTGTCAGACGGTCGTTTGCCCAAGAGAACCAATGTTGTGAGAATGTCAGACGGTCGTTTGCCCAAGAGAACCCATGTTGTGAGAATGTCAGACGGTCGTTTGCCTAAGAGAACCCATGTTGTGAGAATGTCAGACGGTCGTTTGCCTAAGAGAACCCATGTTGTGAGAATGTCAGACGGTCGTTTGCCCAAGAGAACCCATGTTGTGAGAATGTCAGACGGTCGTTTGCCCAAGAGAACCCATGTTGTGAGAATGTCAGACGGTCGTTTGCCCAAGAGAACCCATGTTGTGAGAATGTCAGACGGTCGTTTGCCCAAGAGAACCCATGTTGTGAGAATGTCAGACGGTCGTTTGCCCAAGAGAACCCATGTTGTGAGAATGTCAGACGGTCGTTTGCCCAAGAGAACCCATGTTGTGAGAATGTCAGACGGTCGTTTGCCCAAGAGAACCCATGTTGTGAGAATGTCAGACGGTCGGTTGCCCAAGAGAACCCATGTTCTGAGAATGTCAGACGGTCGTTTGCCCAAGAGAACCCATGTTGTGAGAATGTCAGACGGTGGTTTGCCCAAGAGAACCCATGTTGTGAGAATGTCAGACGGTCGTTTGCCCAAGAGAACCCATGTTGTGAGAATGTCAGACGGTCGTTTGCCCAAGAGAACCCATGTTCTGAGAATGTCAGACGGTCGTTTGCCCAAGAGAACCCATGTTGTGAGAATGTCAGACGGTCGGTTGCCCAAGAGAACCCATGTTCTGAGAATGTCAGACGGTCGTTTGCCCAAGAGAACCCATGTTCTGAGAATGTCAGACGGTCGTTTGCCCAAGAGAACGCTGCAAAGACAAGCTAACCGCCTCACTGAAAACATCACACACAAAAAAAAAAACCCCGCACAATAGGGGATGAATCGTCAAAGGAATTACCATCGTGGCATTCCTCTATAAAGAAAGAATCCATACAACATAAAGCCAACAGAACATCGGATGCAAAGCTCATTAAACACACCAGAAAATTCCGGGTTAACCCAGCACCTGGATGTGTCCCATTAATCCCCTGCACGCACGCACTCGAACATTTACTAGCAGAATTGTTTTCGTCAGCCATCTGCGCACCCAAAGCCATGATCAGAACTAGCACGAATACTAGGACTAAACTGGTCATTGTCGATTTCCACGGACGAAATAAACATATATATTATATTTTATAAATAATTTTCTAACACATCTGTTTCAAATTATTGGATGTTCTTAATAAGTGTTTGTATTAATTCTGAACAATGATTGAACTAAGTCACGCATTGAAACGTACAAAATAATATATTAATTATATACACATTTTATTATTAAAAACATTACTAATTCAAATGCATATTTTTCAAAGACACGTCAAAAATAATATCGACTCGGCTGGTGTAATGCCTATGTATTTAACGGATTTTTTAAAAAAAATGTATAATAAAAGACTTCAGAAAACCACCTAATAGAAGGATTTCAATGTAAATGTTGTTATAACAAGTAAATGTGTTATACCTGCATAGGACAGGCAGGTCAGCAAGGACAGGCAGGTCAGCAAGAGCAGAGGAATGACACTCTTTGTTATTCTCTCCATGGTCATTAACACCGGACTTGAAATTTCATGAACATAAAATTCAGAAAACTTTGGCGGAGCTCCCATAAAAGCCACTATCTATGGAGGCCAAAGTTTCGAAAGATAAAAAGTTAGGAAGAGATGGCGAAGTGTTTAAATAACGATATAACCATGGAGATAATAAATTGCCAGGTTGCCTCAGTTCACCATGTTAATACCAGGTGAGTTCATTAATGATGACATGATGGGTTAGATTTTGATTCTTTTTAAAAGGTTGTTTTGATGTTAAAATTTGCTGGAAGACTAGACATCAACAATAATTAGACATCAAAAATTGAACATTAACAATAAGACATCAACATTTAAAGATCAACAGTTAGACATCCACAATTAGACATCCACAATTAGACATCCACAATTAGACATCCACAATTAGACATCCACAATTAGACATCGACAATTAGACATCCACAATTAGGCATCCACAATTAGACATCCACAATTAGAAATCCTCAATTAGACATCCACAATTAGACATCAACAATTAAACATCCACAATTAGAAATCCACAATTAGACATCCACAATTAGACATCCACAATTAGACATCCACAATTTAACATCCACAATTAGACATCCACAATTAGACATCAACAATTAGACATCGACAATTATACATTCACAATTATACATCCACAATTAGACATCCACAATTGGACATCCACAATTAAACATCCACAATAAAACATCCACAATTAAACATCCACAATTAGACATCCACAATTAGGCATCCACAATTAGACATCGACAATTATACATTCACAATTAGACATCCAAAATTAGACCATATTGCATATAATCCATCTTGCAAATAACTTATCAAGTCAAAAACTTTTCAAACAAAATATGATTGATGAAGGTTTGACTTTTGAGACTAGCTCATACTGGTTGAAAGTTTGACTTTTGAGACCAGCTCATACTGGTTGAAGGTTTGAGTTTTGAGACCAGCTCATACAGGTTGAAGGTTTGAATTTTGAGACCAGCTCATACCGGTTGAAGGTTTGACTTTTGAGACCAGCTCATACTGGTCGAAGGTATGACTTTTGAGACCAGCTCATACTGGCTAAAGGTTTGACTTTCGAGACCAGCTCATACTGGCTAAAGGTTTGACTTTCGAGACCAGCTCACACTGGTTAATGGTTTGACTTTTGAGACCAGATCACACTGGTTGAAGGTTTGACTTTTGAGACTAGCTCACACTGGTTAAAGGTTTGACTTTTGAGACCAGCTCATACTGGTTAAAGGTTTGAGTTTTGAGACCAGCTCATACTGGTTTAAGCATCTTAATTGCTGCATACATGGGTTCATCGGTGCTAGTAGTTTTTTTAATCGTTAAATTGTGTTCTCCTTTTCTTGGAGTTACACTTATGCAAATAAAACATGAGGTGGGGGCAATTAGTTTTTAAATTAGTTTTTAAAAATAAATATTGTCTTGAAATTCATTTCTGAACTTCTAGTAAAACTATGCTTAAGATTTTGTTGTTCTTCTTTTCGTTGAAAGAATTGCTATACACTTAAGACTTATTTGATCCCCTGCACCCGTGCCACAGACACACTAAAACTTGACACATGTACTTGCATTTCTATGTTCACTTGTTTTAACATTTCAACGACAAACAATTCGAACAAGTAAGCATGCACCTTATTTTAAGCGATGAAACTGGAACCCATCGGTGTAGTTATCACCAATGGCGTACCTGCGGGGAAGGGGGAGGTGGGGTCGCAGGATTGTGGCCGATCCGTTGGATGCAGTCCTTCAATTATCTTCTATTATCGGAACGACATTATTACTGTGACTGAATTTAATGAAACTGCCTTGATTAAATCATAGGAACTACTTAACAGTGTAGCAATTCGCAAAGAAAAAATTACGCAACAAGAGTCTAAGCATATTTTTTTCTTCAAAAACTGTACCGAAAATCTGTTTAGAATTTTTTGAGATTATAAAAAATTATAAGCTTTGTATTAATTTTTCTCAAATTTACTTTTATATTTAATTATTACTCTTATTAAATTTATTTCTCAAATATAAGAATCATTATTTTGAAATAATCATCCATCAATTATAATAATTATATAAGCTAAAATTCGTTTTTACAATTAAAGTTACCCCCCCCCCCAACCATCGTACAAAAAAAAGCCTTAAATTTTACTTAATCGTTGCATAACAACTGATAAACATAAAAACTGATAAAGCAAATGTTATCTTTAAGTGTTTGCCACTTTGCTGTGGTGCTCATGTTGATGACGCAATAAGAGGTGCTAAGTCCAGGTTCAGTCGTTGTACCAGATGGTTGATAAACTAGTCGAATACAACACTTTTGTGTTCCAAGTACGTCTTGATAAACAATTGACATAATATCAGTCGGTCTGTTTTGTGTAAATAGTTTTAATTACCACTGGGAAACAAATGAAATATTAAACAAATAAATCACACTACTGTAAGACCTTCATGTGTTGAAACATCTAAACCCCCATTACAGTAAGACCTCCATATTTTTAAACAACTAAATCACACTACAGTAAGACCTTTATCTTTTGGTAACAAATGAAATGCTGAAAAAATTAAATCCAACTACAGTAAAACCTCCATAATTTGACTAATTGTAGTTTGACCCCCTTCATGATTCTCCGTGGCGTAACTATGTTTTAACAATAGGGGGAAGAATTAGTTTTTAAAAAGCCATCTAGCCACCCCCATCCCACCCTCTCCCCCAGCTCTTAAAAAAAAGGAATGTCAGCGAATTAAATTGAGAGCTATTAAGGCTTAAAATGAAAAGAAGGTGTCGGCAAGACGCCTGCTTCAGCTGACAAAATAAGGAACATCAATTGAAATTGAAACTCTATTTGACTCGGAGGAAGTAGTCAAAATGTGTTAGAGCTAGAAGTTGTCTAAAACAGGAACATGCTTTCAATCAAAACATTACAGTAAGAAAAAGGATTTAGGTATTTTCTATTTGAAATTCTATAGTTTATAAATATTTAAGTAGGGAAAAGTGATAAAATGGAAGAGAAATGAAGGGACTTTTGGGGACTGTTAGTACGAGATTTTATATAGTGACAGGATGACAACAAATCTGAATTATTTGGTTTACATTCTTCATGCTCACTGGCGGAGTGTTGATGTAAGAAAACATTGTTGTGATGGTAGCATTTGATGTGGCTATGTGTACATCTCCGTTGAAATGGAATAAGACGTGGTTACGGGTTGTTTTGCTCAATGTTCCGAAGATGTTCACTGAACCTATCGTATTTCCTTTTTTGCCTCTCACCTATTTAACACGAGTGAAGTCTTTGGCAAACAGTCACATAGATCACATCGCGACTGGTAGACTGATCCATGTGAAGCACATTTGATCTACTCTTTCCTTGACACGGCCACATTTTGTTCTACTCTTACCTTGACACGGCTACATTTTGTTCTACTCTTTCCTGGACACGGCTACATTGTGTTCTACTCTTTCCTTGACACGGCTACATTGTGTTCTACTCTTTCCTTGACACGGCTACATTGTGTTCTACTCTTTCCTTGACACGGCTACATTTTGTTCTACTCTTACCTTGACACGGCTACATTTTGTTCTACTCTTTCCTTGACACGGCTACATTGTGTTCTACTCTTACCTTGACACGGCTACATTTTGTTCTACTCTTTCCTTGACACGGCTACATTGTGTTCTACTCTTTCCTTGACACGGCTACATTGTGTTCTACTCTTTCCTTGACACGGCTACATTGTGTTCTACTCTTTCCTTGACACGGCTACATTTTGTTCTACTCTTTCCTTGACGCGGCTACATTGTGTTCTACTCTTTCCTTGACGCGGCTACATTGTGTTCTACTCTTTCCTTGACACGGCTACATTGTGTTCTACTCTTTCCTTGACACGGCTACATTGTGTTCTACTCTTTCCTTGACACGGCTACATTGTGTTCTACTCTTTCCTTGACGCGGCTACATTGTGTTCTACTCTTTCCTTGACACGGCTACATTGTGTTCTACTCTTTCCTTGACACGGCTACATTGTTTATTGAACTTGTTGTTGGGTAGACGGATTTCATTGGTATTTAAAACGCTGAAAAAAACTGAATGGTAGAAAACACATCGAGACGGACCGAATAGAGGTACGAAACAATTATATCGATTCTAGCGGAAACGGGGCGAACGATTTCTTTTTTACTCCCGTGCATTCACGAGTTTCTTTATCTCAATGACTACGGGTAAATTAACAGCACATGTTATCAAGAAGAGTAGATTAAAAACACATGTTATATATAAGGGTATATTAACAAAACATTGTATATATAAGGGTATATTAACAAAACATTGTATATATAAGGGTATATTAACAACACATTTTATATATAAGGGTATATTAACAACACATGTTATATATAAGGGTATATTGACAACACATGTTATATATAAGGGTATATTAACAACACATTGTATATATAAGGGTAAATTTACAACACATGTTATATATAAGGGTATATTGACAACACATGTTATATATAAGGGTATATTAACAACACATGTTATATATAAGGGTATATTAACAACACATTGTATATATAAGGGTAAATTAACAACACATGTTATATATAAGGGTATATTAACAACACATGAAATATATAAGGGTATATTAAAAACACATGTTATATAAAAGGGTATATTAACAACACATTGTATATATATAAGGGTAAATTAACAACACATGGTATAAATAAGAGTATATTAAAAACACATGTTATATATAAGGGTATATTAACAACACATGTTATATATAAGGGTATATTAACAACACATGTTATAAATAAGGGTATATTAACAACACATGTTATATATAAGGGTATATTAACAACACATGTTATACATAAGGGTATATTAACAAAACATTGTATATATAAGGGTATATTAACAACACATTTTATATATAAGGGTATATTAACAACACATGTTATATATAAGGGTATATTGACAACACATGTTATATATAAGGGTATATTAACAACACATGTTATATATAAGGGTATATTAACAACACATGTTATATATAAGGGTATATTAACAACACATGTTATATATAAGGGTATATTGACAACACATGTTATATATAAGGGTA